CTAGAAGACAGGCACCGCCTCATCCACATACCCACATTCTAAAATTTTAAATAAAATTAGTCCAAATCTGAAAGGTTCAAATTTCAAAATAAGTATTAATGAGAATTAGAGATACTTAAATTAACCATCAGCATATTGGCTCTTAAATGACAAAAAAACAGACGTCGATGTAGTTATCATCTTTCTTATGTTCTTGAATATTTTGTCAATGGTTGGCATTGAAAAACCATGCAATATTTAACTATAGTCTACAGTTTTGGTTAGGGCAACTTTTTTCTTGTATTTTGGTTTCGATCTCGACAACTTTTCTATCTAACAATTTTTCAACAGATTCTCAAGCAATGACTAATCAAGAAATAATCTAGACTGCAATATTGCCTGAAATGCATAAGGTTAACATGCTCAATCGACTCTACTATATCTAGTTGTACTCCAAAAAACAAGCGTTGAATGAATGGTTATCTAACAGATTACGAAACACTTACAATGCAACACATTTTATTTTAGTGTGGATTCGTGCGAAGTCCTTTTGAGTTTCGTCTTGAGTCTTAACAGATTTACCCGAAGTCAAAAGAACTATTTTGAAATTCTGGCAAAGTTTTGAAAAATAGCTTTATAAATAACAAGACTATATCAAAGATAAGCTTATTGTTAACTCTAGTGAATGAAATCAATAATTTAATGAATTCACGATTCAAAACTATCCTTATGCAATGGTCGAAACATTGAGCTGTTGACTCAGAGATTGATCGAAAAAAAACAAAAACACTCGAATCTTAAGCCTTCCTCAATTCTTAATTCTTCATTCTTTGAAAAGTATATCATCTAAATCATCAAGTGAAAGAATGGTATTTAATTTCACTAGATTTTTGATAGACTCTCTTTTCTATTAATATTATTTATAAAAGGAGCTATTACTAGTCAATTGTTTTGAAACACTAATGAAATGAATGCATAACGTTACATTACTATATTTCTGAGATTTTTCTGACTTCTTCAAAATTAATCTCATATACTTTGCAAATCAAACATCAATAATAAAAGATGATCGTAGAATAGCTTTCTGCAGAGAAAAATGATTAGAATTAATTGAATGAAAATAAAAATAAACGCTGCGAGTAGGATTCGAACCTACGCGGGAGAACCCATCTGAT